ACAGTATTTGTTGTTTCCACATATGCAGCTTATATGCTTACTGTTAAACTCCATTTTGCTCTTAAAGGGTTGTGTGTCAACAAGGAGCTCATACCAAAATAAAACAGTTAATGTCCGTTACTACATTACTGCTGAAGTTTTATTTTAGGGCTGAACAATATATTTAGTTTCCGCATCAACATTGCAATGTACGCACAAGCTGTAGTCACGTTGCATTAGATGCAATGTATTAAAGCGAGTAAGACCCACTATCCTAAATTAAGGAACAGTTTTAACGCTTGATAGGAGATGAACTCAAATTAATCAAAATCCTTCTTTTCATGACTAATACTAAAAGTAAACAGTCAGCCCCTTCTGATACATAACATAATTTACTTTCATTTAATTACAGTTTGGTTACTGGTTTCCCATGAATGCTCTTCCTGCATTGTTCTCAGAAGGGACTTATATAGATTTTAGCATTTCACTTTTAAATGTGAGACAAAAATGAAAGGAATGCTCAAAAAGAAGAAAAAAGCTATTTCTAATTAGAATAATTAGAATTACACAATCTGAAAACAGCATATATATCAGTTGAATTAAAAAATAATAATAAACACTGCAGAAACTAAGCACACATAGTCACACATGTCTAGACGGTATATATTTTTTATGTTTCTTATGAAGAGAACTGACATTTCTGAGGATGCAGATCCTCAAAATGCCCATGTAAAATTTTAGAAAAGGAACCGTTAATTTGTTAAATCTCCTATTTAAGACTTAAACTCATTCACCTCGCTCCATCTTTAAGCTTTTTCCTCTGCTGTTTCTGTTTGTCTGACACCCCTATATACATCCCTCCTCCTCCTCCTCCTCCTCCTTTTCTCATTCCTGCTGCCAAATTAAGTGTCAAACAGACAGGGAAGGCGGGTGGATGGCCCACATTTCTCCTATAGAGGTCCACATTATGGTACAGTACGTTCCAGTCTGTGCTCTGTTATTCCTTTCTCTGCTCCACTCCGATACAAACCTTGTCCCCTTTCCCCCCCGGGCTCATTAGCGTCTGATTGGGTTGTTATTGTAATTAAGAGCTCCTGTACAGCCAGTAAGAGCACTGAGCTGTCTGCTAATGGGTGGTCCTCAGTGGGAGGGTGGGCTATAGAGGGGTCACGGTCATTGTCCACCAAACCCCCCAACCAGACAATGTCTACCAGGTTTTTTCTTTACTACGGTGTCCGTTTATGTAAGTCAAAATGTAAATTAAAATAGCAGTTTACCTTATAGTCAGAGCATTTTATTCGACTATTTTCATTAAACATTAAAACTAAAATAAAATGACACATTGTGCAGCAGGTGTTTTCCTTTTACTAAATACCTTCTGTCCCATATTTTCCCCTCATATATCCACTGATAGGCTCAGTTTATGTAGTGTTTTTATATTGTAGGTGAACAACCCCTCTTCCCCCTTCCTCTCTCCCCCATGTTAGTCTGTATATGTGTGTGTGTGTGTGTGTGTGTGTGCGCCTGTTGCTTGTCATGTAACAGTGGTCCATAGCGGCCCTCCATTCATGCATGTGATCACCAACCGTCCTGTAGGTCCCTTACGTCACTCTGCGTTCCTGCCTGGGCTCAGGTTACACTTTCACCCCACTCTCTCCCCTCTCATAATTTTTCTGCCCCCGTTCACCCCTTCCTCTTCTTCTCCTCTTTTGCCCGCCACCCGTTTTCCCTCTGACTCAATCTCCCTCTGTCTCCCTATTCGCGCGCTCTCTGCCTCTCCTGTGTCCCCCTGTTCCTAAACCGGAGAGGAGAGAGGGAGGAGATGGCTCATTATTTTAAAGACACAGTGGCTCTTGCAGCTAACCCCCCCCGCCCCGACTACATAGCTACCCTTCCTCCCCTCTACTCCTTTACCCTCCCTCCTTCTCCTCCCCTCTTCCCCATCTGCCCCCCGATGACCCACACCTCCCCTCCACCCCTCTCTCTCTCGGTCCTGTCAGTCGAAAACAAGACTCCATTTTGCGGAGGGAGCTGCCAGCAGCACCATCTACTGCTTCCCCTCATGGCCCACTAACATTTCTTTGTGTCAATAAAGCTTCTCCAACAGGAGACGTGACATATGTGCTAGCCTGTTAGCATGCTGTGTGAGGACAAAGACCTAATTTCTAGTAACATATTTCTTGCCTGCAGTGGGGAAAAAAACATTAATGTGAAAAGGTCATGTTTGTGTCCTCTTGGTGTGTCTTGAAGATCACTGTGGGCCAAGGTGAGTTGCACCCTGGCCCCGCTGGTGTTGCGTAACGTAGTTTGTTATGTTGTCGTGTTGCACAATAGGTATCCGATTAGTGCTGCAGGCCGACAGCGAGTGGGTGGCCTGTAGGCCTGTTTGATGTGTCCAGGAGATAAGGCAGGAGGGGCAGAGAGGTGTAAGGTTGCTGTTATCACTGGGAATAACACCAACTGCCACATAGTGGAGGAAGAAGTTTGTTTTGCGTTTTGGTTTCTGATACAGTATGTGTCTAATAAAGAAGGTGCGGCCAAGGCAGACTGGCTAGCTTGTGTGAATGAGTAGCTGTTGTTGTTTCATACTCAGCTTTATCTGATGAGATGCTTAACAGCTGAAATGGATTTATTGTCGTATTTTATGAGTTGTTTTTGGCTGCTGGGAAGGGTGGCTGCGAGCGGAATTGAGCAAAGTTGAGCTTCGGCCACGTCCACACTAAATGAGTACTTGTGCCCATGTTTTGCTTTCTGATCAGTTCGACGAATAAAAAAAATATTTTCAGTGCAACGAAAAGTGCTTTATTTGATTTTAGATTTATAATATATTTTGTCACTTTATTACAGAGCCCCTGCTGTTCAGAGAGATATTTATGGCCTACTTTTGCAGAAACAAAAGGCTAGTTTAAACTTCCAGAAAATTTCCGGCTCCATCAGTCGAAGCTCTGCTGCGTTGTCCTGGGAGTGGAGATAAAAAGGTTTTCAGTCAAACCGGGGGCATCACTTATATATGATGTGTTTGTATTCTGATATATTGGTGAGTTTCTTCCTTGTGTGCATTGCTGCTAACACATTGCTATGGACAGCTGTTGCCTTCTTATGTATGTTTATTCAGTTTTGGGGATGCAGTGCAACCTGACCTTCCTCTAGTTTGGGTCCTCCAGTTGATAGTGGGCCACTATGACAAATAAAAACACATTTGGATTATCCAGTCAGCTTTTGGCTGACCAGTGTAAAACTGAATAATTAACAGGATGGCTGCACCTCGCTTTCTGTCACATTGTACAGTTCAGCGCTACTGTTTAATATCTCACCTGGACAATTGCCTTTTATCCTAAAAATGTTGTCAAGAAAGATGCTTATGTTTCATCACTCTTTTGTCAGGTGTCCTATGCAGCCAAATAACAAGATTTTGACATTGAATTTGCTATCATTTGTATATTTCTCTTCAATTAAAATGCTTTTGGATGACAAGTACAGTGAATTGTAAAGCTATTTATTCTGTTTTATTTATTTTACTTCTATCAATCCTATTCAAAGAAGATAAAATCAACATGCACATGCTGAAAATAATAAGTAAGGACAAGGTATCAAGAAGGGGCTATTAGCTGGCCCTTCTGACCTTTAGATATCTTAGTTTGACTTTCTCCATGTATGAATAGCTCACCCCTATTGCCAACATGCTGTTGTTGTAAACAACTCAGTTTTATTTGACAGTGTAGTGATTACAAGCTTTATTGGCTCATATCCATTATAAGAAGTCACTTAAACCATTCCATTGATGCGCTGCTGGTCATAGTTTTTTCCTGGATTGTTGACATGTTTGTCTCGCTAACCATTAACAGAATTGGAAGTTAATAGGTAGCTTACACCTGGGAAATGATGAGGGCCAATAACAACTCAATGGAACCAAGCAGTCCACTGCAATGAATTTAGACTTTTTGTCTTTTTAATATACATGTTGTAATGGGATTGATTTTTTTTTTTTCCCAGAGCATAATAAATGGGGGAAAGTAGCAAAAGGTGGCAAGCAGATGGGGTTCACACCACTAAGAGGCTTGGAGGACACTTTGAGAGTGTGATTAGTAGGTGTGTGTCTGTATCATCGATCTGAAAGCAGCAGACTAGATGGAGACCATTTGATCGCTCCTGTGATAAGGGGCTCATTTTCCCCTTCATGCACAAGCTCCATCCCCTTTTTGGTGTTTTTGTTTTTACAAATGGAACTTATTATTGGTGACAGATATTCAAATTTGATTAACATAATGTTTTTTTTTTCTTTGATTAGTTTCCTACTTATTAGTAATCAGTGTCCAAAATGAACACCCACCAAGTTCCAAATGTTTGGTTTGGCCAGAAAATAAATGGTGGCCAGTCAGATTGTAAAGGGGACTTTAGTGAGGTTGTTTCATGAATGGCTCTGCTCTACATGATGCAGATCACTGGTGGTGGTCAAATGGGAAAAAGAAGCGCTGGATGGTCGTATATATTTTATTACTGTTGCGGTTTGACCTGGTCTTGTGGGCCACCAAATAGAAAAAAAAAAAAAAAAAAAAATTATTAAATCCCCATTTACACTAACAAAGGCAAACCAAAAAAAAAAAAAAAAAAAAAAAAAACAAAAAAAAAAATAAAAAAAAATTAAAATTTTTTTATTTTTTAAAAAAAACCCTCCCTCTCACCCCCCCACCATAAAATAAAAATAAAATAATTAAACATTTTCAACAAAAACTGAAATTATAACCTCCCTGAAGAAAAGCTTTGTCACAACTGTTGTATTAGTTTTAGCTACGTGTAACTAATAAACTGGTAGCCGAGTATAAATACACGTTCACTGTGCACTCTGCAACAAGGTGTCTGTAAAAGTGTTCTAGCGGGAGAGAGGCAGGGCAAAGCTTAACATGTGTCTCAACAGAATTGTTGCAAAAATGAGTGAACGTGTATAAACTGTTTAAAAAAGCGTGTGTTTTATGACTTTATGTCTTATTATTCTTTCTCTCCCTCCCTTTCTGTTGTTCCAGTCTGCCAGAGTAAGGACATCCGGAACAATGTGACCAACCTCCAGTCGTTGGAGAACTGCACCATCATCGAGGGCCACCTTAAGATTCTGCTCATGTTTAAGACCAAGACTGAGGACTTCCGGGGTCTCAGCTACCCGAAGCTGCGAGTGGTGACTGACTACGTGCTGCTCTTCAGGGTCTATGGCCTCGACTCCCTCAGCGATCTCTTCCCCAACCTGACGGTAATCCGCGGAAGCAACCTCTTCTTCAACTACGCTCTTGTACTTTACGAGATGCTGCAGCTGAAGGAGGTGGGCCTCCACAGTCTCATGAATATCACCAGGGGCGCCGTGAGGATCGAGAAGAATCCAGACCTGTGTTACCTGGCCACCCTGGACTGGTCCAAGATCCTGGACTCGGTGGGGGACAACTTCATCGTGGCCAATAAGAATGAGAGAGAGTGTGGAGATGTGTGTCCCGGCACGGCCCAAGGTCAGACCACCTGCCCGCAGAACACCATTAACGGACACTTCAGGGGACGGTGCTGGTCACAGAATCACTGCCAGAGAAGTAAGTGTGTGTTAGTTTGCATAAAAATGATGTATAACTCTGGAAGTTCTCTTCAGTATCAGAATCATCCAGTGATAGTTGTCTGTACATCCGTGGGTACATTGCAAACAGGATCTGCTAATAGCTAACTGCATACTTTTAGTGGTACAGATTTGCCAGAATGTAAACAAAAGTTAAAAAACAGAGCTCAAGTTGCAGCCCACAGCTAAGTAACTTACTCATTTGCAACATTATATTTCCTGTTTACATTCCTAGCAGTTGTCTCAATTTTTTCTGAGGGGCGGGGGCCCCACAGTGTGACTAAGAAAGTTGATTGCTGTCAGGCGTTTAAACCAGCCTGATACCCGCCAAATGAACAAAAGACTGTCATTTATGTATGGAGTTGTGTAAAAATCTCCATATTGACTGGCTGCTGTGTGCAGACATGATGGTGTAACACCTTTTCCAGAATCCATCATGCTGCTTGTTGTAAAGTGGTCCATTGAGACACACAATGAGAATATGCACTGGAGATTTTTTCCTCCCAGAAATCAATTGAGACGACTGATGTTTTCATTCCAAATGGTTCATGTAATGATTTCTATGATGCAGAGGGTTGCTCCTGATATCAGCAGCCAGGGGTCGTGGACTCCCTCTGATTAGCATTCATTGACTGGAGCATTGTGGGCAAGTGATAGGTAATTATAGGCTCGGGATCTTCTTGATGTGTGAAATGACTCAACTGCATTGTTGAGTCAGGGAACTGCATACTCGAAGGTAGGCATTACGGGAAAAAATTAAACCGGGTTAGGGCCGAGAGATTTGATGGACAAGGATAAACAGTATAGTGAATTTGTTTGTTAGAAATTGCTCAGATTTTCTCTCCTTTGAGTAAAAAAGAGCTGTGGGTTTGCTTGGTGCTGCCGCCAGCTGCCAGTGTGTCGGCCAGTCAGTCAGTCAGTCAGTCAGTCAGTCAGTCTTTCCTCTCCTACCATAAACACAGAGAATGGCTTCTATTGTAAGACACACAGAGAGAATGCTTATTATTTTTTGAAGGCGATTATAGCTTGTATTGTTTTTTTCTCCTCTGTCTCTGTGTCTGACAGAAAAGGATAGCGTTCAAAGCATAACTACCTCGGCCATGTTTATACTTTAACATCGACTGTTGCAGCCCGCATATAATGTTGGCTCCTCGATTTTCTGCCAGGTCTCACTGTCGGGAAAGTAAAACAGGAAATGGCTCTCTTTGTGTCTCAGTCTCCGTCTCTACACACACACATATACACAAACACACACAGTTTTTCTTAGACAAGGTGAACAGCATTCAATTTGTTTTAATGGAAAGGTTAAAACAACAATTGTTAGCATTACATGGGAGAGGTGACACTTAAGATTGCGTTGTCCAGGACTAAAGTCAAGTCAAAATCACCCTTAAGAATAAAAGCGATTATCAAACTTGTTGTAAATTAAGGAGAGTTCCAAAGGTATCTGTTGGTAAAAAGTAGATCTAACACAACTGCAGAGAGAGGTGACTCCTGGGACATGTTTTAGAGTGTTTGTACAAAATATTGATGGTTATGATGAATTATACATTAGCTGGAGCAATATGTATAATTTAGAAGTGGTGGTAATCTTTGCCTATTATTTGCATTTCATTTGAATATTTGATAAGATGTTAAACCACTTACATATACCCCCCCCACTTTCCATATATTTTCCTCTGTCCACGCTAGTCAGTGTTGGATAACTTTTTTTACTCCCAAGTGTAATCCTAAGAAGTTTGATGAATAAAGGCCCTGGATTTGATTTCACAGACAAATGCCCTGACCATTGAAAATAAGAGTGTCACCTGATAAACACAAGTGGCTGAACAGTACATCAAACAGCGTGTGTACATGTGCGTTCATGCCTCCTTTGCTTTGGATAGGCCAGGGGAGCAGGTATGACGCTGTACTCTGCGTCACGTGACAGGCACCAGTTTAGTTAGGGCTGTGTGTTAAAACAGGAGCCATTTCTAGAACATGACACAAAGGCTGTGAGTAGACTACACAGGGACGATTTGTGTACATTGGAAATGCTTGTGTTTGCTGCGCGTACTGTACTGTAAGATGTGAGATGTGAACCTTGAAGAAAGCGAAATGTGTTGGTTCCCTTGGGGCTTGTGCAGTGATATACAGTGAAACACGTGCTGGGTGGTGGCGTGAGGAAACTGTAGGATCTTTAATTAGGGCTTCTGTGAATGAAAACTCACAGTTTACAAACTTAGATGCTCACATACACACATGTGTCAGTGTGCACCAAAGACACCGGTGCAGGGCGGAGGAACATTAGATGGGGCATTAAAGTTTATGTGTGAGTGGAAACTGTGGGTTTGTTTTTGTTGTGTTTTTACAGGGTTCCAGTTGCCTTAGGTAAGAGCCAAGGGAGAGCCTGCATTCCTCTGATCTTACACATGCTCCTTACAAGCAGGAAAACCACTGTGTGTGTGTGTGTGTGTGTGTGTGTGTGTGTGTGTGTGTGTGTGTGTGTGTGTGTGTGTGTGTGTGTGTGTGTGTGTGTGTGTGTGTGTGTGTGTGTGTGCACATGCATTTGTGTGTGAACCAAGACATGTCATGTTTAACTGTGCAGGGCTCTTAAGTAACTTGTTGGCAATCCTAACAGCCTGGAGAGTGTATGAGATCTGACATTCATTGCCTAGTGCTATTTTCTCCGTTTTCTGTGTGTGTGCGTGTGTGTGCGCGTGCGTGCGTGGGTGTGTGTAAGAGAATCTGACGCACATATGTATTTGGTGTGTATGTGCGTCCTGTATATTTACAACTTTGTGCAGGTAGCTGTTGGGGCGCGGAGGTTAGTTCAGTTGTAGGTTTTGTCAAGTGCACTCAGGCTGCAATTTGCTCAGCTTTTGCAAGCTGTCACCAGTCACTGTTGCTTTGTTGCCTGATTGAATGTTGGTGGTTGCTTTTCCTCTGGACAACAGTAGAGCAACAGTGCGTTTCGAGGGAGGGAGTCTACTTTATGCAGATGTGTTGCGTTGTGTAGATTACGTTCATACATTAGAATCTCTCAATCATAATTTTGTTATTGTATGTGGACATTTCTGTGGACTGAGCTGAGTCTTACAGCAGTGAAAACCTACCCGTCGTCTCATTCTGCAGCTCAGCCTGCACATTGATGTCATCATTGATCATTGATGAGAGATGAAAACAGAAGGTTGTCAGGTCTGAGATCAGTGGAGTTCATGGATCACCTGTTATAAATGAGACAGACACAATGTATATACATATGTGGATACAATCTGTGCACCCACATGTTTGCACATGATGCTTCCAGGTTGAGTAAAATAACAAAAAGACAGTTCCTAAGTTAATCCAATAAAAAGCAGTTGCTCTCTATCTTTAGTTCTTTGTTGTCTTTACATTTTTTCATTTGGTTCTGAGATGAAAGTAGTCATTCTCCTCTTATTTAATCTATCCCCACTGATTTATAAAAGCAACTAAAAATTGCCTTTTAATGTAAGAGTGGATGTTGTGTCAGTGAGACATTTAAAATGAAACACATTTCCAAAGAGAGTTAGTTCAAATCTAAAAAAAAAGAAAAGGAATCAAGAAGGCTGAATTTCTAGAGAAGATAGCTATATTTACAGATGAGAGACAGATGGATAGTAGACGCATACAAAGGCGGATTTCTAGTTGGAAAGCAAGCACACAAGACCGAGGAGCGGATTTACAAATGAGAGGTAAAGAGAGAGAAAAGCACAGACAGAAAGGAAGTAAGGGTAATATTCACAGATGAGAAAAAGAGGGAATGGGAGCAAACAGTCGATCTCCTGTTTAGATAAGGCTCTATCTGTTGCTGAGGCCTGGCACACTGTGTTCAGCCTCACAGACACCAGCCAGCACTGTGCTTGCACAACTCACGCACACGAAAACATACACACACGAGTAGGAGGAGAGAAAGCTTTTCAGGTCAAAGTTCACTTCATCTGCACCTAGGTGCTTTGTTGTTTGCCGCAATTGTTTTCAGACACAAACACGCACGCCATCACACAGTCACGGCTTCACCTTCCAAGTGACAAAAGCCACAGCGGGAAAATGTCCTCTCTCTAGTACACGTACGACTTTAAGACCATCACAGTCACTCAGGTTAAACCGGCACTGGTGGTTAATCTAAATGGGTCAACGTGCGTCATCCAACATGGATTTGTGACCCTCCTCCTGACCAGAGTTGAACATGAGTCTGACACTGCCCAGCTTTCAACAGGCCTCTCTACTGGGAATGGGAATGTGATTTTGATATATAGACATTTAAAAGACATTAACCAACTCCCTGTCTCTTTGTAAGAGAGAGACAGAGTACATAAGTGGTTGAGCAAGAGAACGAGAGCGTGAGGAGAATTGAAAGTGAAACTTAATGCTGTTTCCACTATGTAATTCTTTGGAACTCTCACAGACTAAAAAGTTTAAAAACAGTACTCACATGCCAACATGTATGTTCAGAGCCATTACTGTCCATGAAGCGATCCCTTCCTAAACCAAAGAAGGAACTGGTCCCGGCCAGGAAATAGTCCCACACATAAACCCGTTTTCACACTTTGCTTTATTGTACAGATTATATTGTGTGTTACCCCTTCTTTCAGTCATAATGCTAAGCTAAGCTAAAGGTTTCCTGGTTGTAGCTTTATATTTTATGGACAGATATAAGAATATCTTATATTCAATATTTGAATTCAACTCAAGCAAGTTTGCATATTCCGTATATGTTGAATTATTCCTTTCATATGTATGTATGATGCCATTAAATGACATCACTGCGTTGTTTCTCTAAGGTAAGCATAACTGATTAATACTGGTATTTATGGTTGCCATGGTAATGGAAATTGTAACCAATTACATTGTCATTAGTGTTTTATTGCTCATGCTATCAAATGAAACTGGACAGTCAGTGTGGATAAGATGAGGGCCAGATGAGGAGGCCAGTAGGGGAAGAGAAGGGGTTGGGCAAAGCAAAATAAACAGAGCAAA